TTCAAGTTTTTTTAGAGAAAACCACACCAAGATGCTCTGCGGTGAGGACCCGACTTGTACCTTCTGTAAATCAAAACTAAAAAATGAAATCACTTACTATATTTTTGATTGCTCTGCTCTGAAAGAAGAAAGAAGAACCCTTATGCTCAAAACTGGGCAACTCTGTGCTTCACTTCCATCAATAATTGACAATATGACCCAGAATAAGTATATTGCTACGGCGTTTTATGGTTTCCACAAGTCCATATCTCAGAAGAAGGCCAAGTGATACTCACTGCTCACTTTCTTACTGCTACTCTTTTTGTGTTGATTTCTTGCTTCCCTCTTTCTTATTATTATTATTTTTTTTCCTTTTCTTGTTTTTTTTTTTCTCTTTTTACTCTGTATATATCGTTATTTCCATTGTCTCACTGCTTTGTTCTTATGCATACCTCTGGTGAATCCTGTATAGGGTCAGTGACCCTAAATAAAGGCTTTTTTGTTGTTTTGTTGTTTTTGTTTTGTAAATGAACAAACCCTGTACATCCCCCACAGTAAATATTATGATCTAGGTTGCTCTTTTTGAGCGGTGGCACCTAATAAAGTTATTTGGAACTGGAACTGGATACAATAGTAGAGCGGTCTAGAGATTAATTTGGCGAAACCGCTGAGAGGGTTCACTATTGATAAGCTAAGCCCTCTCATTCAATAACTTATATATATATTTTTGCTTATCCCTAGTACACGTGGTACAGGCCACGATAATCATGGTGGGTAGTTAGCGACTGCTTTTTTTTTTTACTGTAAGCGCACCACATGTCTACACATGTGAAAGCAGTTCGACTTTGCACTTACAAATGTGCCAGAGCCCCGTTTGGTTACTTGCACTCGCTGGTGGGGTTGGACTTTTGCAAGAATCTTTAAACAGAAAAAAAGTGTCCAATGCGGGGATCGAACCCGGGTCGTAGTGGTCGTAAACCGAACGGTTTAACCAGCCTTCCACCGACCCCCCATTTGATTAAATTATTGAAAAGAAGTACATCGACAGTAAATTTATTGGTTAAAAATTTGATCAATAGTTAGCAATTAAAAAATTTATAAATTTATAAAAAAGAATTACTTACTTACGTGAATACCTGTATATATATAAAGTAGAATTAAATATAATTTATATGAAATATAGTTGTATTAGAGAAGGATTAATGATAATTAAAAACAAATTATAAAATATTAACTTTAAGGTATCAAAAAGGTTTTGTATTTTAAGTAACAACATAGGGTTATAACAAATTCACTCTGTAGCATCGGCAGTTACGCGTCATTTAAGCAGAACATAGGATGAGGAAAAAGGAAGAATTGAAGGTATATAAATATGTTATAAATAAAAAGATGAGATTTCTTTTGCTGTCTTTGGAATATTATTTTCTAATTATTTTTTGGATACATCAGGATTATGCTATGGTAATGCAGTCGTGGTTAAAATCTTGAAAGTATAATAATAAAAATAGTGAACATTAGAAATAGCTTTAATCAGAAATTGATTTAATTGAACTAAAAGAATATAGAAAACATAATTTGAGAAAGGTATGCCTGGCTTAAGGCGTAAGAATCTAAAAAATGAAAAACTTATTTACATAATGTACAAAAGGTTTTTTGCCAGCCATCGGGAAACAACAACAATGAGGTTTTATAGGGGAAGCGTGACCTCTGGCGGTCGACTTAGCAGAGTATTTGAATCTATGAAATATATTTTTTTAAATAAAATAATATTTTAATATAACATATATATATATACCGTCCAAGTCAGAAATCCTCGAATCCCTCATAACGAAGAACAGTATCAACAGAAGACATCCCATTCTGTCATACTCCAAATCAATATATAAACAGCCATCATTTAGTATATCTCGTCCCTCCCCGTGCTCACTCTCGATGTAACTTCACCTGTTGAAGAGCGAGACCTCGAAAGCTCGCAGTGTTTTTGTAATAAAGAAACAAATTGTGAAAGGTTTTTAAGATATTTTATATCTGTATATGTAAATAAAAGGGAGAGCTGGAGAATACCTATAATATATAATTAATATTATTTATATAGAGTAAAATAACGCGCCATCTATACATAGGAAATGGAAACATTTAAGGCACCAATGTTTCTTTCATAACATAAAACAAACTTCTACTGTCTTTACTGCGATGGAAAAATATATTGGGAGAGCTTGGCTCATCAGTGGTGAACCCTCCCAGCAAAATCGCCAATTTAATTAACCAAACCGTTTCTTAGAGCTCTAATACTGTATTGGACGATTCTACTTATATATTGTAGCATAGTATTTTTATTTTATTTTATTAACAGAGTATCATTTTTATGTTCATATTTTACTACTCTGTGAACTTACATCATTGCTTATCTTTTGTTTATCATTGCTGTGTCATCCTGAAGTTTTTGTCTTCCCTAATTTTCCACGTGGCATTTTGGTGGAAATGCTGGGTAAGTTAGGGAAGACAAACTGAAGATCGCCGAGAAGATTTTGAAGCCATGGATGCTGTAATCTACATTTTCAGAGATTGACTCCAGGATTCCACCGTCGTGTCAAAGCCAAGACTTCCCTCCAAGATGACGATGTCCCTATAGACGATACGACGACAAAGCCGCTCTTCACGTCGCAAGAAAAAGGACACAAAGGTACTAGGGACAATGTTCCAAGACTTCGATGGAATACTTGGCAGAAACACGTCAGATCCATATCAGTAACTACAATAATTGCTAGCTGTGGGTCACAGCTCCCATTGGAAAGAAGCTATGTAACCAAGTATTTATATTTTATTAACAGATTATCATTTTTTTATGTTTATATTTTGCTATTCTGTAAACTTCTCTCATATCTTTTGTTTATCATTTATAGTTTGTTCTTGCCTTAAATAAATGGCTGTGTCGTCCCGAAGTTTGTCTTTCCTAATTTTCCACGTGGCAATATGCTAACAGTGATGGGTAGAATCTTAAAAATGGTATTCAAACAAACTATTCAAGCATTGCTCTTCCGCAAACAATAAAGACAAGGCAAGTTAGGCATGAATAGAAGGCAATAACGCGCCATCTATTTATAGTAAATAAAACTAATAAATACGTTGTTGTTGTTGTTTAATTGTAGAGGTGAAGATGTCAGATGTAAATAAAAGTGTCTTACTAGAGAGAAGGTGATGTTGAGACCAATTAAGACAGAACACCAGATGGCGGTGATGGGGACACTAATTGAGGAAATTGTTCCCCCAGAGTAATTAACTCAAATTGGAATGATTCGCCCGGAAATGTTGAGGCCGTTAGGTACTGGATAGAACGGTAGTACAGTTGAGTGGTCTGCTAAATAAGGGAAATATAGCAGCAGATCATTTCAATCAGCTAATGACATTGTATTGCCACGTGGAAAATTAGGAAAGACAAACTTCGGGATGACAGAGAGAGAAAATAGAGGTAACCCGGGCTCCTGGAGCGTAAATCGCCAACTACTACGGATGACACAGCAATTTATTTAAGTCAAGAACAAACTATGAATGGTAAACAAAAGATAAGCAATGAGGGAAGTGTACAAAGTAGCAAAATATAAACATAAAACATGATACTCTGTTAATAAAATAATAAATACTTTAAAATTTTACACAAATAAATTTACTGGTAATGCGCTTCTTTTAAATATCATCAAATATTGTCTCTACAATTTAAAAGAAGCGCATTGCCAGTAAATTTATTTGTGTAAAATTTTAACGATAGATGGCAATTAAATTTAATTTACTAATAAATACTTTGCTGCAGTATTTATAATTGACATCTATCGATTGAGCCAAGCCTTTCTCAATCAATAACTTTTATCAATGACAAAAGTTACTACTTTTGCGGGTTATCACACAAAAAAAAAAACAACAACAACAATATACTAGGGCTTAAAGGAAGAAGAACTAAATACACATAAAAGCGTATACTCAAGAGTACAATACCAACAACAAAAAGGAATTAAATAAAAACTAGCGATTTGCTATATAAAAACAAAACAGTACTTATCTTTATTGTAGCGTTGGTAGGGATCGGACTGGGGTCACACAAATATGCGAGGAGAACACCAGACACGGAAAAATCACGCAGAAAACACTTTAAGCGTCTCCACACAAAGGTCTGTAGAGGTAAAAAAGAAGCACATTGCCAAAAATGTATTGTTTCAGATTAATAACATTGTGAATATTGGAATTTTTTAAAACTAATTATAGAGAAACTAAAAGTTGTTGATGGCTTTCACCATCTATCGGAATAAATATCAACTAATCGTTGATTTTTAATTATTCCAGAATTAGCCAAATACTCTTTCTTGATTAATCAAGAAAAGGTAACCATGTTGCCTTTCTGTTAATTTATCCACCTGATCCCCAGTACAATTTCACATTTTGTACTATTTTTCTCATATTTACAGAGCGTATGTTCTTTTAAAATAAAGCAAATTTCTTTATTTCCCTTACTGAAATATGAGAAACTGGCTCATCATTAAGGACAGTATAAATTTTTTTTATTCCAAATGAAACATAAGCGCTTTAAATAGTTACTATTTCAGATAACAGATGGCGTGTTAATCCATCATGTTTAGATTATTATATTTACATATTTTGTGTTATTATGCAACTTTCTCTAATTGCCTCTCCGTTCATTCGTATAATTAATTGTCAGTAATTATTTTTTTTATCAAAATAAATTGATTTTGTCATTCTCATTTTATATCTTTCTTCGTTTTAATACGTGACGATATCAGGATAAAATGTATATATAGGATTAAGCCCCTCCTCTACATCCCGGCTCTCCTGGCCTCACCTGGCGATGATCCCCTGGCCATCCATCCCCCTCCAACTATGCTTTATCTATATTCCGCTTTATGCGTCCATCGGGGCTCAAAAATCATTCATTTTGGTTAGCAGCCTCAAAAATAAAGATATTTCTGTATATGATTAAGTTATATATTATAATAAATTATATAATATTTCGTGATTCCATGGTGTAATGGTTAGCACTCTGGACTCGGAATCCAGCGAACCGAGTTCAAATCTCGGTGGAATCTTCTTTTTGGGGTGAAAAAATCATTTTATTTTGGTTAGCATCCCCGTAAATAAAGATATTTCCGTATAGAATTAAGCCAGGTTCGTATCCTGTCGAATTCGTTTTTTTTTTGTGTGTGTCCGATTGGCTGAGTGGTCTAAGGCGCCAGACTTAAGTTCTGGCAATCTACTGAGAGCGTGGGTTCGAATCCCACATATGACAACTTTTTTTTTTTTTTGGGCTCAAAAATCATACACTGTTGTTAGTAGCCCGTAAAACCATTTTCTCTCTACAGGATTAAGCCTAATAATGTCGGAACATTTATCTAGCCAGATGATTCCTTAGCATTACTTAAGAAACATACAGCAGATGGTAAAAGACCGTATATATATATACAAGATACATATTGTCAATATTTGTTAATGTATATATACTGATATATATGGAAATTTTGCTGGGAGGATATTGATCTAAAGAGACAAAGGTCGCCTCTCCCGTCAAAATAGACGTCAAAACTAGACGCCATCTATTGACCGTTTTTTTCTCAGTTTGCCAAAGCTGGTGTTGTGGCTTTGTCACCGACCCGAGGCCGCTAGTTTGCGACGACGGTCAATAGATGGCGTCTAGTTTTGACGTCTATTTTGACGGGAGAGGTGACCTTTGTCTCTTTATATACTGATATGTACAGTCAACTAGGAGTAGGTGGACAAGTAGGTAACACCCTCGATTCCCGACAGCCATGAACCGGGATATAATCCCACGATAACATTTTGTTTAATATGTGAATAACCTTCACATTCATTGTTGTAAATATCATAAACTAGGTTGTTCTTGTTGAGTGGTACCTAATAAAGTGATTTTGGAACACAGTCAACTGGAGACGATAAAAAGGAAGACCATGTTTGTTGTACAATACTTTATTGAAAAATACAAGTTTATTGCATTCATGTGTATTTTAAAGACAGATGTGTTCTTTTTTATAAAAGTACATTATATTGTTCTATATGCAATATACACCATATATGTGTGCATTGTTCAGTTTATAACCATAAATATAACACTTTTAGTATAAATGATATTTAAAAAAATAATAATAAGATAAAATGTATATTTGCATTGTATAACATTTTTTTATACTTCAATCAAAATTAAAAAAATAAAATAAAAAATTGGAGTAAAAAAAAAAAAGACGAGCCTGCCAGGATTCGAACCTGGAATTTTCTGATCCGTAGTCAGACGCGTTATCCGTTGCGCCACAGGCCCATACTATCCTTTCTCTTACTTAACTCTTTAAGAGTATTTAATTACTTTTGTTTACAAAATTGTCTCTGATTTTAAAGTTTTTTTTTCCTTAATGTAAGTTTTTTTTATTTATTTTATTTATTACTCTATTTTTCACACATTCTAACTCAAATATTATTTTTCTTTGATTAGTAATTCTCGGACAAATCATTGATTACAGATAGTAATGCAGTTTATTAGTAAAAAAAAATAAAAATAAAGAAAAACACCTTATAATAAATATAGGTTATTCTTTTTTACCTCATGTTTTATATGTTTTAAATATAAATATGAGATTAAAACTTTTTTTTTTTTTTTTGCAATTGGTTTTCTACATTCAAAAATAGCGCAAGCTACCCTTTTTTGACGGATGTCAGTATAAAAATTAGGTATTATTAATTTATTATAATATTTTTAGATACTTTTTTTTTTTTTTGCTTATTCCAAATACACGTGGGTCATGATAATCATGGTGGGTAGAAGTAGGCGACTGCTTTTACTGTAAATGCACCACATGTCTACATATGTGAAAAACAGATAATTTATATAATAAAAATACAGGGTGATCCAAAAGTCCCGCACAACTTTAAAAATTAATATCTCCGCGAATATTTGCGCTAGAGCAATGCGGTAAACACCATTGTGTTCAGGATGCATTGGGATATTTTATGGCAAATAATTAAATTTTTCGAAATTGATTTTAGTTACAACTTTATTCGCTAGAGATGGCGCTCTTCCAGAATCAGCGATTCAGCGGCCAAATTGTTTGATAAATTGCAAAATATAGCTGAACGACACGTATTTTTTCTTTTGAATACCAGGAAAGAACCCTAATAATAGCAAATGATGAATTAATAAAACACCATTTCGCCACAAGTTAGAAGAAATGGTTAACGATTTTCAAATACAATCTGAGATATGTAAAATAGGTATATGCAAATTAAAACATGTAGCAAAAAAAAAAACTGATATTTTAGATTCGGTTTGCTGGAATCCTCTCAGCTATTTAAATTTCGAAAATAATAATTTTCTAATTTTTTAAATTCAACTTTCTCTCAGTATCGATTATATTTATTTTAATTCATTTGAAAAATATTTATCTATCTCTGATGATTTATTTTACTCTGGAATGCCGTTGTTGTTTTTGTTGCGTCCAATAAAGAGCCTCAGATGTCTCCATGCATCTCTATCAAAGCAGCAGCAGCATTGTCCACTATCTTGGGTGTGTAAAGCAGCTGCTCTGGGTCTATGTCAATTTTCTGCAAGGCTGCGGCCATTGCTGGGCATGAGAATATGTGAGTAGGTGTTAGTTCCACACCAGGACAGTTGTTGCATGTCCTATAGGTTCTAGTGCCATCTGGATGTATTGTCATTTCTTTATAGTGTTTTGTTCTAAGCCGTGTTATAGTTTTTGTAATTTTTTTCTCAGTGTTTATTTCGCATTTTGATTTTTTCCTTATTTTTGTTTAATTATCTTGTATTTTTCCAAAGCATCAGCGTCAAATAATGGCATTTGTCCTTTCCTTTGGCTCAACCTTCTGGCTTCCTTTGCAAATTCAACTGCCATTTCATTAACCCCGATCCAAACACTGGCAGGAATCCATTGTAGAATGCAGTTATTCTCCAATGATATCAGTTGAGTAAGTAACGAGTGTATTTTCTGTGTGATTATAGTATTGCCCTTCTGAATTGCTTCTAGATCGGATATGAAGTCGTTGTACGGTATATTATAATTCCTTCTGCTTGATGCAGGGATGGTTGGTTAAGGCATACATCAAGAGCTTTCCAGATAGCTGTCAATTCACAAGTGAAATCTTTCTCGCTCCTTCTTTGATTTTGATGTATGTTCCATCTTGCAGTATTATGTTAAATTCATCCCCTCCATTACTTATGGTAAGGTCTGATGATCCATCTGTATATGCTGTTAAATAATTTATCTGATCGCATAAACCAATTGTGTCAAGTCCTTTCTTTTTAAGTATGTTTTGTTCTTTTCTTTTTTTTATTGCAGGGTTCATTCAGGTTAAGATTGATGATTACATTTGATGGCCATGGGGTAGGAAATATTGGTTATTCTCGAATTTGAAATTGATTATGTTTCATATTTATGCTCTTTCTAATATTGTTGTCGTACTGAAGTGTTGAAGATCTTTTGAGCCTTTCTTTTTGAGTCCAGTTTAAATAGGTTCTATGGGATATGTGTTCGGTTTATTTAGTTTTTAAGCTATTGGCGAATTTTATTGTTTTTAATTGTCTTCTGCTTTCAAGTAGGTCTAGACCACATTCTCTCTGAATTTTCAAATTGTTGGTATTTGAAACAGAACCAGTGATTAATTTGGCCGCTTTTGCTTGAACACTGTCTAGTCTTCTTTTTAGTGATGAACTTGAGGGAGCCCAGACGGGTGTTGCATATTCCATTATTGGCCTTATTAAGGTGATATATGTTGTTCTGAGAATTTGGGGCTTTGCTCCCCAATTTGTTCCACATAGCCTTCTCAAAATGTTTAGGTTTCTGGTAGCTCTATTTGAGGTGCTAATTATGTGTTCTGTAAATCGCAATTCCTCATCAAGTATCACACCTAGGTAATTTGGAGATCTAATTTTATCAATTATATGGTTGTTTATGCTTATTTTGGAGTTAAATTCATGCCTTTTTTTCCTGTCAGTGAAGGAGACCTATAGGTTTGTGTTTATTGGGTTTATTGTCATTTTGAGTTTCATTGCCCACTTCTCCAGTCCTCTCATTGATGTGTTCAGTATTTTTCTGATATTTCTATACTGCTACTTGTGTGCCATATGGCTATATAATCTGCATAACAGGCAACCTTTGTGTCTTCAGTGAGGATGGATGTTGTTAAGGTTGTGTCGTAATTAGATGTACAACAACTCAAACTTGACCATGACTCTTTATTTAACTCTTATTCTTTTCGTTTGGCCCACAAAAAATGTCCAATATATATACACATATATTCTTACATAATGAGACTTTAAAGAATGCAAATAATCTTCATCTATTTACATACACTATATACATCTCCCCCCTTAATAATACTCCAGTCGGTCTGGGGGTTTCCTGGCTCTCTGAGGTCTAGGACTGCGGACGGGCACTTGCACAGCGGCATGCTCAGGTTTAGGAGTGCAAGAGGGCACGTGCACAGCAACAGGCCCTGGTCTAGGAGTGCAAGAGGGTACGTGCACAGAGGCAGTCTCCTCCTTGTTTCCTGATGTAACCTCTGGAACCTCCTCTTCACTTTATTTCTGACTTCCACCTACAGGCTTCTCTCCTGATGTTCGAGGAAGTATCAAATTTCTTGTCTCCACTTGTTTCTTTCTCACAGGTCGCAATTGATTGATATGCCTCTTATACACGACGCCCTCGCAACTTATAAGGTAGTGACGGTAGCTCAATAATTTCAAAATGGTACCTTTTTACCGTTTAGGTCCAGTTGCATAGTTGCGGAAATAAACCTCGCAACCTGTAGTAAACTGCTCCTGCCTTCTTACGGCCTCATGAAATACCTCTCGCGGATTTCCCATCTTGGTATTAAATTCGAGAATCTTGATCTTAAACTTCTCTTCATTAGCAGTTCCGCGGGGGAATTCTTTTATTACAGTTTGGGGGAATGCTCTATGAGCAAATAGGAATCTTTGTAGATTCGTCTCTAAATCATCCTTCCCGTTATTCTTTCTCAAAAGGTTTTTAAACTCTCTTACATAGCTCTCAGCTAAACCATTTGTACTAAGATTATACGGACTGGTCTTAGTGTGCCATATACCATTCATATTGGTAAATCGCTCGAATTCACCGGAGACAAACTGTCTTCCGTTATCTGTAACCAAAAATTAGGGCAATCCAAATCTGGCAAAATTTTCTCTAAGATGATTTATAATCGTTTTGCTGGTAATATCTTTGATGATAAAAAATTTTATCCACTTTGAGT